CTCCCCCCCCCATCATCTGATCGGAACCATGTAATGTTAAATACTGATCTATTGAACTCTAGAAATCTCACCTGTAATCTCTGTAATCATTAAATCCGGGAAATTACTGCTCACTGTACACTGTAGAAATATCAATATTTTTGCATGTTCCATAAAATCCGCAAAAAGAGGAAATAATCAAATACAATGCATGGTCCATTAAAGGCCAGGATTGCTGTGTCCCCTAAAGCCTGTGAGTTGCCTAAATTGAATCTAAACCTATACATTAACAGACAGTTTAAAACCTGGCATTAATCGCTGAAAGCGTCAGATTTAACCTAATCATGATGTTGCTAGAGCATCACTAATGTTATTCTCTAAATATAGACCAAACTTCAACCATACAATCGATCTATCAAGTTAACGAACAAATATATAAAAAAGATAAATCAACTTCTTAAAATTGATTCAACTTTAACTTCACAGATATCAAAAATGACATTTGAAGATATCTAAAAAAAATATTTTACCTTTAAACTTTTTATAAATATGAATACAATGCTTTAACATCTTTAACTGTGCTAAATGTTAAAATTTGATTATAAAAATTTATTTTTTCAAAGATTTTAAAATATCCTCGATTATTAACATAGATAACTTGAAAACGAGGCTTGTCATGGCTTTTAACCAATATTCCAAGCTGTGGAAGGAAGTAAATGAGTATTCATATTAAAACATGGAGAATTGGCATTGATATGGGTTCAGGGTCTGAACACAGCTAGAACAATATGACATTTTAAAATATATTGTGTAAAATATGAAAAAGCAGACGACATACTTATTCATTAATATTTGTTTAGGCTGTTAACGGTTCCCTGAATGACGAGGGAGGGTTTAGGGACAACTACGATGGACTTGAAGGGGTCCAAGGGACCCCTGAAGAAGGGGACCTGAAGGCCCTGAAAAGAGGTCTATTATGGCAGCAGAGAGATAAGATTTTTTCAAGATGGAAGGAGAGATATTTCATTCTGACAAAGGTATTGTTTCAAATAATTCTTCAAAAAATATTATATGATTCCGATATTTACTTTTTTTGTTACAATGTGGCCACAGCCACTGGCATTGTCTGGCAAGTGATTTTATGAGCTTTACAGTGCAAAAAAACTCTGGAATAGAAAGACGGTTTACTAAATTTATGACTTTAAATCATCCAATGAACACTTGATAAATTACTTAATAACTTACTGGTAAAATTATTTGCATTGTAACAAAAGTATTTCTTTAAAGTCGTCTTCGTATTCCATAGTTTTCTGGGTGTCACTGTAGCTCAACTTAAAAATATTAACACTCGATTTTAAATTACTCCTTAACAATTAACCATTTTATAGGTTTCTTCTAGATAATTATTGTCTTTAAACTTCTATTTAAAAACATGTCTTGTATGCTTTTTCTTATTCATTCTAAACAATTTCTAAGGTTTTATGTATTCAAGTTTTTCTCCCACTGACATGTTTTTGTCAAAGATATAATCTCGAATAATTTCTTAGGACTTTCTTCAATGCTTTAAGAAGGAAAGTTCTAAGATCTCTGAGATGGGCGGATTCATTTTCAAGGTATTTAGTTTAGAATTTCATTATCTTTTAATTGATACCCTTGGACCTGGGTAGAATTGTAAACAGAAACCCTTGAACCTGGGTAGAATTGTAAACAGAAACCCTTTGACCTGGGTAGAATTGTAAACAGAAACCCTGGGACCTGAGTAGAATTGTAAACATAAACACGATTATTTATAAAATTAATTTCAAGCCTTTGTTTAAGCAAAGATGGTAGATTTTTGTAGCTTTGTTTTTAAGCCAAGGATGTATGAAAGTGTAAATTAAACATTAGTTTTGAGTTAGATCCAAATTTCTAAAATTCAGTTTTTTACAAATAACTTATTGTTTTGGATGCTTGGTGTTGCTATTATTTGAATAATTTATCATCTTTATCTTTGAATATTACCACTAATCAGTAATCAATGATCTCTATTCTAACAGTGCCTCCCCTCCTCCCTCTGCACTTAAGATTTTGAAAATTGTTTTGATTTAAAGAATTTTAATCTGCGCTCTATCAGCCACTCTGAGCTTCTGAACGGGTATAGAGGGGTGGGGGGTTGGATTCAAATAAACAACCTTAAAAATAAGGTTCGCTGGGGGTGTTAAATAGTGCCCGTAAGGTCAAATTTAGTTTTATTGTATTCTTATAAAAAAAAAAAATATTACAATATTTGACCAATTCTCGTGAAAATGACAAATATCAAAGATTTTTAAGATTAACAGGGGAAGAAGTGGGTTTCTAAGTGCATACTAATCTTGATTTGAACAAATGTTATGTTAAAAATTGTCTGAACTCAAAACACATGATTGTTGTTGTTGTTGGGAGTAAGGGGGGAGGGTGGGAAAATTGGTGTTGTGTTTTCATGAGTCAGGTTAAATATTCCCGACAGAACAATACTTTTTAGCACACCACACTTCCTACAAATTATTGGATTACCTGCAACGAATGCATTTCAAAATTCTGGTTTTTTGTTTTTGTATTATTCATGAAGTACTTATTGCAGTTCTTCCTTTTTACATTGGATAAATTGATCCAATATATTTGTATTCTGTAATTTCGAGATTTGGAACATGAAATAGATTTTATCTGATATTCACTGGTTAATTAATTCAATACATATCTCATCGATTGATTGATTCACTGATTAACTAATTGACCAATTGATTGATTGGCTAATCTACTGATTAACTGATCGATTTATTAATTGACTGATTAACTAGTAAATTGATTGTTAAGATGATGAGCTGATTGAATTATTAAAAAGATAATTAGCTGATTAATGGATTGATTGATTGATTAGATCAAGCTGAGTGAGATAGAAAGTGTTGAACTTCTGGATAAACGAGGTTACCTCACCATCAGCATTAACCTCGTTAGGGAGGCCAAGGTCTTCCTCAGGTAATAATTATTATCATCATTATTTTCATCATCATCATTATCATCATTATCATCATCATCATCATCATCATCATTTTCATCATTATCATTANGAGTGTTGTTTGGTATTTAAAAGTATTGGTCGGAGGCTGTTCAAATTCTTGATGACTTCTCTAACCAACACATGGTCCTAACTTTAGGCTAAAAGCAGGGATTTTATATCTACTCCTCAGGCATCTTACCAAGGGTATTTTTGGGAAAAGAGAAGACAGAGTATTATGGTTAAAGTTTAATATAAATATAATCCGACTTCTATCATAGATAAGATTGGTGTCATTTAAACCTTTTATTATTAAACATAAATTTCAGGAAATGTAACCGAGCCTCCGCCATCTTCTTGGACCGGAAGCAAGCAACGGATTCCGCCGGTATGGAATCCTGGGCGGAACATAGGCGGAGCAAATTTGGAAGATCCGACTCCACACCGGATGTTCACAAGGTGGAGATTTTTTAAAGATTTTTTTATTTTATTTTAAATGTGGATTGCTAGATCAGATAATTATTATTTAGAATTTTAACTTAAATATGTTTCTTATTAATTAGCATAAATATCAAAATTAAAAATTCTAAAATATCAAATTATAATATTTCTTATTTATTGACATTTTAATGTATTTTGTTCATTTTCTGATTTATTACAGTTTACTTGTATATTTTTTACATTTTTATTTATTTTATTATTTTATTTTCTCATGATATTACATAGTTGACTTTTAGACACAATATTCTTTCTTTTTAGCACTTTAGTTGTTTGCAAAAGTGATGTGCGCATTTCTTGCTCATAAGAGACCACGGAGAAATTATCAGAAATAAACACATTTTGGTTCAGATTAATGGTGGTTGTATATCGGGTATTTTTATTCTTGCATGAAGTATCACTTGAAATTACGCGTAGAGTCCCTTTAAAGAACTTACTTCTATTTTATCCCTTTCTGTTTTCCATCTCATCTTTCTTTTATCCTGCACTCATCCGTCCTAAACCTGTCTACTCCAGTACTTCAGTACTCCAATACTCTATTACTCAAGTACTCTAGTACTCCAGTACTCTAGTACTCCAGTACTCTAGTACTCCAGTACTCCAGTACTCTAGTACTCTAGTACTCTAGTACTCTAGTACTCTAGTACGCTAGTACGCTAGTACTCTAGTACTCTAGTACTCTAGTACTCAGTACTCTAGTACTACAGTACTACAGTACTACAGTACTACAGTACTACAGTACTACAGTACTACAGTACTACAGTACTACAGTACTCTAGTACTACAGTACTACAGTACTACAGTACTACAGTACTACAGTACTACAGTACTACAGTACTACAGTACTACAGTACTACAGTACTACAGTACTACAGTACTACAGTACTACAGTACTACAGTACTGCAGTAATACAGTACTACAGTTCTCCAGTACTCCAGTACTCCAGTAAGTACTATAGTACTCCAATACTTCAGTACTCCAGTACTCCAGTACCCCAGTACTCCAGTACTCCAGTACTCCAGTACTCCAATACTCCAGTACTCCAGTACTCCAGTACTCTAGTACTCCAGTACTCCTGTACTCCAGTACTCTAGTACTCTAGTACTCTAGTACTCCAGTACTCCAGTACTCTAGTACTCCACTACTTCAGTACTTTAGTAGTACCAACACTCACTACTTATACTTATATCTATTTATATTAACCAATAACCATAATATACAAAATTCATTATTATTACTGTTAAAATTATTGGTATTATTATCATTAATTATACTGCTGTTGTCTAGGCGGGGGAGAAGGAGAGGATAACCCTGGATGAGCTGAGTAAACTCTACAGGAAGGAGGAGGAGGAGGAGAGGAGGAAGGAGCAGGATAAAGTCAGGAACAGGATCAATAGATTATCATGTAAGTTACACTCTCAAATAAATCCTACTTTTTATTCGGTCAGATCACTGCAATTCCTATAACCTTCTTTGATATATCGAAAACTTGGTTAACATTTTAAGGAACATTTTGAGAATGCTGATTTACTCTCATCAAGTAGCTTGCCTTATCACTTTCCGCTCTTTATTTCTTATTTGATAGAATATCAATAAACATTTACCAATGACTCTCAAATTGATTATCATTTAAGTTAGAATGTACAACAAGAAACTTCCTTTGTGTTCAATCTATCAATTTAAAGTAACATTTTGATAATGCTGACTTTAATTGGCTAATTGGCTGAATTGTTAAATGCAAATAAGGGTAAAATAAAATAAAACTTTTTGAAATGTGTAGTTTTCCACTAAGCTAACAGTTTTTTTTTTACTTTTTTGATTTAATATTTAAGAATTTTGAGGCCGAATTCAAAGAATTTGAACCGCGGCTCAAATTTTGGTGGTTCCACTTAAATTTGTACTAAATTTTTCAAGATTTAAGCTGGCGCTCAATTGAAACCGGTTTTTTAGACGCGGCTAAAATTCATTAAATTCGGATATTGTAAACATATAAAACAAGCAACTAGTTCTTAGTTCTTACTCAAACTTGTGTTTTGTCTTGTATCATGATAATCATCTAAGATATATTTGATAATCTAATTATTATTATTAATGAGATTGCTGCTGAATGAAGAAAGATTTCGATGTATAAAAGTATTTCCTGGTTTTTGTATATCAATATCTATCTATCTTTCCTTCTTTCTTTTGTTATCACACGTACGCTAAAATAAGAAGAGTTGCTCGAAAGGAACTCAGTTCTTCCCACAAACTAAAATTTTCTAATCCCTATATCTTTGCAACTTGATATTTCAAACTTAGACTATTTAATCTAACATAATTCATAGTTTGAAATATGAAAGGTCTACAACATCAGGCTGCAAAGATATAGAGATTTTAAAACAAAAGTTTGTTTCAAAAACTCCTTTCTTGCTAGTATGTGTGGACNCTACACACCATCTTTTATTTATTTGACAAGGAAAATATGGAAAATTTATAAATATAAACTGCACTATTTATGTATGCATTTATGCATACTTGGTGTTTAGCGTGGTGGACTGCGTAGAGAATAGAATAGATTTGAGAAGAATAGAATTACTGTTGCATGCAAAATTTTTAGAAATATTTAAAGATTTATTGGTCCCCGGAGGGTTCATAGATGTAGTAAACTTATTGAATACTCTCTCAAGGTCTAATTCTTGAATTTTGAATTTGTATTGGTCTCTTGATTCTCATCCTTGTATAGGAAACTATTAAATGACCCTTCATGCAAAGATGGCAATGCTCGATTCACAACGGTACCCTTGTAACCTTATCTGATCAATATTGGCAAAGATTTTGACTATTATATAAGTTTCAAAATGTTTCTCACCGAAAGCTTAGTCAGGATGAGACAAATATTTTAAGACTATTATAGTAAATCGGGCATTGTCATCTTTGCATGTTGGGTCACTTCAATATAAGATTCATTTTTGATATAGGGTTTAATAAGAAAGGCGTCAGCATATAAAACCATCTTCTATTTGTAGTATTACCCGACGTTGATATTCCTGAGTTGACCTCTTTGAACTGCCCAGCTGGTGACCTGAGCACATTAACCTGCCCGGCTAGTGACCTTGACCTTGAAAAAGCGTTTTTACGTGGGAAAGGGGACGTGGACAGCGGAAACAATAGCCTTAATACTAATAGGTAAGAATTAATTTTTTTCCTGCAAAAATTTGAATTTTTTCCACAAAAAAATATTTGTCATTAATATAACCAAAAATTGTTTAAATTTTTTTTTTCTGTTTCTGTGTAATTAATAATTTACTTTTTTAATATATGGTCATACAATCTAAATTAGCCCAACAAGACATTATGGAGTAAATTAATGGCCAGTTATAAAACATACAATTCACAAAATAGCAGTTTTTGCTGCCAAAGATGTAATCTTTCTTATCATGCAAATCTGCAATTATTAATAATTTATCCTGTGTGTAGTTTTGGTGCAAAAATACTTGAAAATAAGATAAGATTGATTAAAATTAAACTTTAATTTTAATCTTATCTTTCTTGAATTTAAAGAAACTGTAGTTGTTTTTCAAAAGATTACTTCAAATAAAATGCGTTTTTCACAAAAGTACCTTTTTAATGCCCATCTATCTTCAAAAATGTTTAAACAGAAACAACAAAAACAAAAATATCGATTTTTAAAGGGAGTGTTCGCGAAAGATGAAAGGGGGTTTAGGCTTACGGCGAAAAATAAGCGCTTACGATCGCTACTATATAACTGTTGCGTCTTATAAGGAGAAAATGGTTAAAAACTACTCATACCAAAGAATGTAGAATTAAATGGATTATTTTACGGTCAGAGTTGAATGTTGCAACTTTCTGAATTTGTTTGGACGCAACGTTCTTCGGTATGTGTCGTTTTTAACAATTTTCTCTTTTTAGACGCAACAGATGGAAGTAGGATTAGTAGCGATAAAAAGCGCTTATTTTTCGCCGTAAGTCTATACCCCCTTTTATTTTTAGCGAACACTCCCTTTAAAGAGAGAGTGGGTACCGTTGTGAATCGGTTATTGCACTGTAAATATAATTTATTACAATATATTAACATTTTCTTTAGGTCCAATACGAGCACCGGGTCCTCTAAAGTGAGTGGTCCCACCGAGTCCTCGTTCCTGGAGGAGGAAGAAGAGGAGGACGCATTAGAGGACGGACGCATCCGAGACAGTGTCACAATCTCTTGTTCAAATCCTTCCCCTCAAATCAAAATTTCTAAACCACAGAACAACACAAATGTGATCGAAGTTAGATATAAAGGTAGAAAAACTTGATTTTTTTCTGGGTGGGATTTTGTAGAATTTAGAAAGTTTAAAATCTAGATATTTGTCAACCCCCCCCCCCCCCCCCATCTCTCCCCTTTTGTCTTACTTTCTCCGTTTAAAGTAAAATATCTGAATCTAAATGTTTCATGTTGATCTGTTTGTCTATATCCGGCGTAAACACTTCACACTGCCTGAAATAGGCCATTTTTCTCGTGTTCAGTTTTCTAATAGATCACCGTATTCATCTTCATTTGCGTAAATGTACGCCAGAAACCGAGGAGAAATGCGTCAAATTACTTTAGATCCGGAATCTTTAAAATGCGCAAAGTAAACATATCCTTTTTCTTTTCAGTCGCCATTGTTATTTTCTAATTCTAATGTTTAATTAAGACAAAATACTTTTACTAAGACAATTTTGCTATTAATGTAAAAACGAATAAACATTTGTATAATTAAAAATCAGAAAATTAAAAATGTTTTAAAAAGTATTGTAAAAATACTAAGACGAAAATGGCTTATTCAAAAATTATATATCAATTTACTGAAATGCCCCTGAGTTTTTGCAGTATTTGTTTCGCCAAGCTTATCATTTGGCATCAACATTTCAATTACTAGTATATGGTTTGGACATGATCTATCTTAACTACGATCAGTTTATAAGCTTCAATAAAAACCCACTTAAAAATTATTAAAACGCCACAGGCTAGCCTAGGGTGTAGTACGCCACGGTCCATCGTTTGGGTTTTATTGAAAGATAAAAGGGTTCAGCTCAAATATAAAACCTCGATTTTAATCAACAAAGTTTTTTTCTGAAACATATGATTCAGACTAGCTTGGAAACCCAGCGTTGCCTATGCTAGTTTCTTCCCCGTTTACCCGCGCTTGGTCCTAAATTACGATTTTAGCTATTTTTCCCTTTAAAAATCGACCCACTCAATTTAAAGTATCAAAACCAAGCTAAGAACATTTCCGTGGTTCTCCCTAATTCCCCGATTAAAATTTTTGACAAATCGGGTTCCTGAGTTATGATCGGATTTACAAACAAACAGAAATTACTATTTTACATGATATAGATAATGTTTTAAATTAAATATTACTTATTCATTTAAATATTACTTATGAAATTTTTTTAGCTTTAACAAAGAAGTCTCCCCCCCCCTCGACATTACATGTCCATGTTATGCAAGTTTGTTACACAACTAATTAGCGCAACTACATGCAGAAACTGTTAGTTAAGAGCACAAACACGTGTTGTTAACCTGGTTAATTTCTTCATTTAACGAGCTACTTTACGTATAAATTAACGAGATACTTAACGTATTAATTAACGAACACTTTGATTAAATATAGATTCTGAAAGATGAGTGTTTTAAAACCAGTTTTTATTTCTTTGTTCAACATTTATTGTTATATTTTTATTTGATTGAACCAAGTTCATTGTTCAGTTTGAAACCATTTTGAGCAGCTGATTTTACATTGTGGGGTTTTCTAGGAGCCTGGGGCACTGGATGAATGAGGTCCATTGAGTTTTAAATTTTATGGTTTAACCCGAGTACATTTATCAGTAGCAGAAGCAGTAGCAGTTTTTGGACAGCTTAGTCGAGTGAAACTTTTCTTTACTAATACAATTTAGGGGTTTACGGGTTTAAAATTTTTTAAGATTTATGATTTCTCTTGGACATTTTTTAGATCTAATGTATTCAAATTTTAAAGCTAAGGTGTATTTACAAAATTTCAATTTTGTTTTTAACATTAAAGTTGGTAAAACACACACTAAACAGTGGTTTCCCTCATATATGGACTCTGTAAAGGACATGAGATGGTGAGTGGGCCTCAATTTTCATTGAAATTTTCGATTCAAAATTATACCTTTAAACCTTCTCTCATGAAAAAGGATATTGTCGTTTTAATCTGGAAAAGAAGATAATTCTGACAGTTTTCTTCTTTTTCTCCTGGTGCATAAATGAGCTTTTTTTAAAAACTGCATTTGAAATTTATCAATTTTAAGATAGAAACCATGCTTAAACCTGCGATTGAACTTAATCAATTTAAAGGCCCACGTTGTTAATCAGACTTTCTTCTTAATAAATGTAGGGTCTATGAAAAAACGCATTTAGTCCCTTTAGGACACCATTTTGATTTAATATCTAAACTATTTTTTGTATGAATTCTGCATAAGTGTTGGTAAAAATTTGAATACACAGGATGGTAGTTTAAATATTTTGTGTTAAGGGTTCTGACGGTTAGAGGTTTAAAATGTTTGAACAATAGTATCAGGTCCTAACCGACAAAACTGCCACAGTTTTGATATGTAACATGATAGACTGCAGATAGGTTGACATAAAAAACTGAACCGACATGAATAATGCTAGGTTTATGTATGTTAAACATGATAAACTACAGATAGGTTAACATACAAAACTGAACAGACATGAATAAGGCTAGGTTTATGTATGTTAAACATGATAAACTACAGATAGGTTAACATACAAAACTGAACAGACTTGATTAATGCTTATAGGTTTATGTATGTTAAACATGATAAACTACAGATAGGTTAACATACAAAACTGAACCGACATGAATAAGGCTAGGTTTATGTATGTTAAACATTTTTTAACATTTATTTTCTTATAAATGAATTTTTTTTTCAAAATTTTAAAAAGATTATTGAGTTTTTTTCTCTGGCAGTTGTATCTTCGCTGATCATACATCCATATTCTGTTCCTCTCTTGTAGATCTACACATTCTAATCCCTTGTAGACAAGGGAAAATTAAATACATGTTGACACATATTTCTGCTTTTCTTTCTCCATAATGTTACGCATATTGCACAGAGATGCAGTTCTCTGTTCATGCAATTTTCATTTTCATACTATTCTTCAATTTAAACAATTTAAACATAATAAGCTGATAATGAGTTGACATGCTAAGCTATGAATAAGGCCAGGTATACTTGTTTGTATATACATTTACATTAATCAATACTCAACGCTTTGGAATGTACATATTGAATGTAATATTTCAAACTGTCGAAATCTAAAACTTGAATTGAGTAATGTAAATTCTATGTCAGCAGAAAAAAATCCAACTTTTCAGATTTTAAACCAATCATTTTATACTTTAATGTGTGTTAAAGTTTGAAATGAAAATTATTAGTTTTTTTGCCAAAATAATTGCGTGTACTTTTCAGTGTTACTCTCGCCGCCCCCACTACTATTTAATATTCTACCCCCAACATCGTTTTTCAATAAGAAACTACAAACATTGCAAATAAACTAATTCCCATCTGGAATTCGCAAAATCTTAGATTGCACAATCTTTTCGCACGTAGTATTTCCAACGCTAATTCAGTACAATTTACGGATTTAATACTGTTGCCTGGTCAAAATCAGCTGGCAATTATGCTTGCAGAAAAAATGTTTCATGTTGCGCATTTTGTAGCGATATGCAAGCTGCAAGTGTGTCCCACCTTTTACAACTGTTAGAAAAAGCAAATTCCAAATTTGGACTCCTGCAAAAAGATGGCAGAAACCTGTTTAGGGTTCCAAATAAATCATGTAGTGTTGGGTTGGATGCCAGGATTATAAATTGCTTGTATAATCATTAATTACTCTATTATTAGCAATAATACCACGTTTTTGAGGAGTTTGACTCTCTTTTCAACTTTAAAAACAATTTGTGTTTGTTGGATCTTAAGTTTGCCTTTCATGGAAATAAATATATCTAGATTTCAAAACTTATTTTTAAGATTTTATTGCGTAATTAAAATTATGTCTTTTTAAAATATGTATTTTTTTAATTTTCATACTTTTCTTCAAAATCCATAGACACAAATTTTATATTGCTTTATTTATAGCATTTTTTAGTACAATATCCATTTAAAATATGGTGCATGAATGGTATCTCTTTAAAATATGGTGCATGAATGGTATCTCTTTAAAATATGGTGCATGAATGGTATCTCTAAATCTTGTATAGAGTATGTACTACAGTCACCAACATATAATTTCTAGCCTCCCCTCCCGGTGATGACTTATTTTATTTCATTGGATACCAATTTCGGGGGGTGGTGGGGCTAGAGGGATTTTGAGAAGTTATTTATCCCTGTGATGGTTTTAAATACAGGATTCAAGCTTTGTTTGACGCTTTGTTTGACCAGTACATTTACGCATTCCACAACCGTTCAACACTCACACCAAACAGCTTTCCAAGCGTATTCATTTAGTTGAAGGGACTATATAAAGGACCGGGGGGTGGGGGGGTAATAATGGTTTTATAAATCAATTTTTGTTTTGAGGACACAATTATTTATTGCGTCTAAATCATGCTGTACTGCAGTGTACACTGTACAATGTACACGTACAGTGCAGTAGTACATTACTAAAAAAAATTATTATTAAAAATAAAAATACAATATAGACATTAAGATAAAAACTTCGTTGAACCCGCCTTAAAATTTAAGTCGAGTTCAGCGAAGTTTTAGAAAAAGTTTGGGGATAAGAAAAAATCTCTTTAACAACCCCGGCCCTGGCTCCCCGTCCCCATGTGACCGCCAAGCAATCTAATGCTAGATATTTAACAAGTGTGTCGGTAAATTTGAAAGCTGAGTAGAGCGCAAGTCAGCATATAATATACCTTTTATATTCATTATTGCAGACATTAGTACATATTATCATGTCTTGAATACTAATCTTAGTTCATATAGTCAATATTCTTACTTTGTATTTATAGTAAACAGGGTCGTTTCGCATAGTAAGAAATAAAAGCAAAAAGCTACACTTTTAAATACAGGTGAGCTAAAAAAAAAAAATTTTAGGTTTTTGAAATATATACGTTTATTAAATGAGAATTTTTTAAATTTTTAGCGGCCACGAACCTCCCCAAGTGCTAAAGAAATCGTATATTTTAAACGTAAATAAAATATTGTAAAATAGGTTTTTTTCATAATTGTTCAATTATTTTTTCAACCCCTGCCCCACCCCCCTTCATTCTACTATGTGGAAGATTGTGAGGGGGGGGGAGATACTTCATATATTTGGAAACCTATCCCACAAAGAAATTGGTTTAAATCTGAAATTCAGTAAAACGGGGGTTTATAAAGTTTTTTTAAAGAAAGTTCCTCTGACTGTAAAAAAATATTGTTTTGACACTAAATGCGCTGTTAATGTTTTGAAATAGATCTTGTTTCATAGCAATTCTTCACAGCTGATTGACAGCGCCAACAAATTAAGATTTTTATTAAATACGGATAATCTGAAATTTAAT